TTCCTCCCTATTAATCCTCGGAAGTGAAGGGGCCGTCCCTGGCGGCCCTTCAGCCCTATTGTGGCCCCTCGCCCTCCTCGGCTGGCGTCTAATTAACTCCTCCTGCCCCTGGTTTTGTGTGCCCCCCTTACTCCACCTTGTCGGCCCCGCCCCTCCGCTCGGCCCGCTCCCCCCGACGGACATTCCTGTCAGGCCGGGCCAGTGTGCCAGGGCAACCAGGGCCAGACCGAGGCCTAATCCCCCCTCTGCCTGGCCGGGCTCAGGGAGCCCCACTCACCTCCCGGCTCTCTGGGGGCTGCTCGGCTCTGCTGTGGCGGAGACACACAATCAGGACAAAGGCGCAGCCCCCAGGGGGCTAACTCAGCCTTCACGCCCAGGTTGTGCGGCATTTGGGGAGTTTAATGAATTGTCCATCACGCCTTTCAGGGCCCGCCCGTCAGCCTGGATTAATCTTCGGAGCCCTGGTGGGGTAGGAGACACTAAGCCTGTATTTATTACTCTCCCATTGTCACTAATTGAGGTAATTATCTGTGACTCTGGCCTGGCCAACAATGCCGCATTCACTCCTGGGACCTCGATGGGCCTGGCTCCCACTCTCAGCACCAACCCTCCCTCCCTTCCTCTCCAAAACGCGCCAAGGGCTAAGATGGGCCCTGGAGCATGTTGGGAAAATGGACGATGTTCCATAAGGTTCCACCTTCAAGTAGTGTCTCCCAAAGCCACCACCACTGGAGTTGTGTTGCGAAGAAACCCCTGATTCTCCTAAAGTAGGTGAGAAAAGAAAGCAAACAGATTTGTCATACAGAGCCCTGGACCCACAGCCAGGCTGGCACTCCTTCTTTCTGGGTAGGTGGCATCAAGGTGCCCCTGTAGTCAACAGGACTCTGGAGTACTGGGAGGCATACTATTCCCTACTAGGTGTACTCAGAAGCTACCAGAGCTGACAGAGTGGCTGTGGGTTTGTTGGAGAAGGCTAAAAAGAACAGAAAGGGTGGGTGTGATGGGGAGCAGAAGGGCAGGTGAAGAGCCACCCTGGGAAGAAGCAGTCCAGAGTCAGACTATCCCCCACATCCACACCAATGTGACGGTTAAATAAAAACTAGCGTAGAGGGCTGGAGAGATGGTTCAGTGGTTAAGAGCATTACCTGCTCTTCCAAAGGTCCTGAGTTCAATTCCCAGCAACCACATGGTGGCTCACAACCATCTGTCATGAGGTCTGGTGCCCTCTTCTGGCCTATAGGCATACATGCAGACAGAATACTGTATACATAATAAATAAATAAATCTTAAAAAAAAAAACTAGCGTAGATATGTGAGTGGTTCCAAAGATAGATGTCATATAAAGATGGTTTTCTGGGTCCTTGGGAGCAAGTGTGTGTGTTCATACGGTATGTGTATGACATGTGGGTGCTTATGTGATGTGTGTGTGTGTGTGTTTAAGGTATAATAAAAACGGGAAGACTTGAGTGAGATTAGGACGTGAGATTCTTGAGGGCAGAAATTATGTTTTGGTCACTGTTATTTTTACAAGATTCTAATATTATACCTAGCCTAACAGGATAGATCAGGCCAGTAGTTGCATAGAAGTTGAGGTCTGTTGGATCTTCTCTTAAACAGCTATCCTCGGGCTCTTCATCCATCTAGTACTTGGTAGAAAGAGTTGTCTACATCATTCCTGGACAGTCCTGGCTGGGCAACTGACCCGCTGAAGCGCTAAGGATCCTGGCAGATCTCAGAGCTAAAGTTCGAGCAGCGCCACCTTGCGGTAGATATGGGAGAGCTTCTGGAGGCATTGGTTGAGAAGATAAAGCTGCAGGCGGTGTCTGAACGGCAACCATCCTCCTTTATGTTACCTTGTCATGGCAGGGCTACTTTTACAGTTTTTATTTTAAATCATCCCTCCATTTTGTTTGAAAGGAGCGTATCATGCATCCCAGGCTGGCCTCAAGTTTCCTATGTGCTGAGGATAACGGTGAATACCTGATCCTTTTGCCTGTACCTCCTGAGTGCTAGGATTTGTGGGGCAGCCATGCCGTGTATAGAGTTCTGGGGACCAGATGAGGGGCTTTGTGCATGGTAGACAGGTACTCTTATCAACATAGTTACATCCCCAGGCTTCATTACCCCCTTCTTACACCATCCTTACTGAGGATGTGTTCCATGCCCGGCCTTAGGGGCTACAAAGTCAAACATTATTGTTAAGTAACTCAGATAGCAGCAAAAACTCAAATGAAAATAAAAACAACAAAGGTGGAGCTGGAGAGATGGCTCAGCAGCTAAGAGCACTGACTTCTCTTCAGAGAACCCAGGTTCAATTCCCAGGACCCACACAGTGGTTCACAGCTGCCTGTAACTCCAGTTCCAGGAGATCTGACAACCTAACATATGTGCAAAGAAAACACCAATGCACATAAAATAAAAATAAATAATTTTTTAAAAAATCAACAAAGGTTGCCAGACACAGGCCTTTACTCCCAGCATTTGGGAGGCAAAGGCAAGTGGATCTCTGGGAGTTCCAGTTCAGTTTGGTTAAAATAGAAAGTTCCAGGTAAGCCAGGTAAGTGAGGCCCTGTCTCAAGTAGAGTACCAGCACCACTGTCACAGCAAAACCAAAACAAGCCAAAAAGAGAAGACACAGCAGGGGTCGTGATCAAGAATCAGGAAAATGTTCAGCACCGAAATACAGGAAGATATTCCCAGTTTGAAACTATGTGTCATCTCTCTTTCAAATCCATTCACAAAAGTCCCTGCGTTCCTTTGGTCAGATTAGGGTCTCAATGCCTTTCCCATGTTGACCTCGAATTCCTGGGCTCAAGATATCTCCACTCTCAACCCTCCCAAGTAACTGGGATAACTGGAACTAGAGGCGTCTATTCTGCCCCTTTGAAGGTCAGAAGCTTTGCTCTCACCTCTAAGCTCTCTGTGATCTGTTCCTCTTTCTTCTCTGGGACTTGGTTCCCTGTGGAAGCCATATGTCTTCCCATATGCTGGACTCACCTCTTCCCTCATCTCGGTGAGAACTGCCTCAAACACCCCTACCCCCCAGGAGACTCTTCCATTTTCCCTTGGCAAAGCGCCCTTGTCTGTCTAAGCTCTGAAATGCTTTGCTGTTGGGACTATTCATGATGACATCCACTGGCCATCCTTGTATGTGATGGACTAGGTTACATGGCTGAGGACACAAGCTCCGTGCCATCCTTTCCAGCACTGAGATGGGGGCATCATAGGGCCCCATTAAACCATGAATGGATGGGTTCGTGGGTGAGGAAATAGATGCATGGGTAGCTGGAAATGGAGAGGGGCTCAGATGGATATCCATCAGTTGAGTCGATGGATAGATAAGTAAATGGATAGGTGGGATGTATGGATGCATGCATGAATGACTGGATGCATGGATGGAGCATCCATCCACAGAATGACTCCCCAATCCTATTTAATGTGCTGGTAGGATTCCCCAATTTGAATGTCACCCTTGCACAGACACCATGCTGATCTCCTCCCTATGGCTCCAATTTTAGTATATGTGTGAGTTCCCTGAAGGTAGAAGCATGACTGGATTTCTGCGCTCCTGGCACACATGGTAAATGGACGAGTGAACACATGACTAATACTGGAAGACCACTATCCTATCCTCCATGGACACACTCTACACACATCCCAAGTCCTCCCTGTGGTAGCGGTTTCTCCTGCCCCCCCTCTCCTCTCTCCAGAACACATCCACACCACTGATCTCTCTGGTGTCGCAGTTACAACTTGTGTCTGCCTGGGTTTCCTTATCCAGCTAGCCTCAAGACACCTCCGAGTTCTCCTAAATCTGAAAAGGACAGGGTTCCTGGCTTCCCTAACACCTTATCAAGTATGACAGAAGTGTGGGGTAGAAAATATTTCAAGGAAGAACTGGGCTGCTGGGGAATCTGAGAGTCCCTGTTTGGGGTCCCCTGTTAACCTAAGATCTGGTGCCCCTAATCAAGTAGTCCCCCTGCACCTGCTGTCTTTTCTCCCAATCAGAGAGGCAGTTCCAAGGAGGGGATGGTTGTGGCCTCCTTCGGGAGGCTGGGTGGCTAGCAGACACAGCTAGATTTAGAAGTCATTTTCACAGCAGGGAGTCTCTAACCTGCCACCCACAGGGCCCCATGGGGACAGCCTAAGATACTACTTACCAGGGTCTGGCCCTGAACCCTATAGCCATTCCTCTCTCTCTCCTTCTCTCCCAGAACTTTGGTGGCTGGTTCTGACTTCATCCTTGGCAAACTCTGTAAGAAGGCATGTGTTTCCTCACACCCTAAAGACCCAAAATGGTTCTTGCACGAAGGGGGTGGCTGTTATCTAACCTAGGATTTGTATTTTTCAGTGCTGAGAATCAAACTCAGGACTTTGTACTGTCTAGGCCACCATACTACTGCTGAGCCCTTCAACCTTCCTCTCCCAGGGATGGGTTGTGCTCCCTGACCCCTTCATTTTTAGAGAGAATCTTGATGGGCTGGACTGGGCTGGAATTCACTATGTAAACCAGGCTAGGCTCAAACTTACAACCATTCTCCTATCTCTGCCTCCAGTTTACAGGAAAGTGCAACCATGCCTGGCGTCTTTCTCTTTTTAAAATATATGTTTATTTTTGCCTGGATGCCCTGGAACTCACTCTGTAGACCAGGCTGACCTTAAAACACCCAGAGATCCGCCTGCCTCTGCCTCCTGAGTGCTGGGATTAAAGGTGTGCACCACCAACCAAGTTCCTTTCTAATTTGTATCTAAATGTCATCTCCTCCATGGACTTTCCCTGGATCTTATAAAACTAGGATCTCCCTTGATAGGCTTCTCCCAGAATTTGATGCAAGAGTCCAGTTCTTTATCACATTGCCAGGCAGGCCTTGCCATTTCTGCTCTTTCTAGCCCAGGCAGTGCTCAGAAATAGCAGTGAAAAGGGTAAAGACCTTTGATACCTTTGATCTTTGCCCAACGTGACCTGGCCGCTCCTTGCCCTCCTCCACCAAGAGCAACAGGAAACGTGTAGGTGACAAACAGGATGGCAGGTGAATATTCCTGGGAAGATCCGACTAGTGAATGCCGCCCCTAGATTTGGGAAACCCGAATGGGAGACCCTCATCCGCCGAACCAAGATCCGCTGCTAGCTGTGGACCGGGAGCCCTGCCCCCTCCGCGTCCCGCCTTTGGGTCTCTCCGGGTGTGTTGTCAAGCTAATTGGTTGAAAGTCTAAGTGGTTTGAAAGCGGTCTAAAGAGTTGCGGGAGTCGGGGTTGGCGGGATTCGATGGGAATAGGGACAGAGGCAGGGCGGGGGATGGGTTCGACCTGGCGACCGAGTCTGGGCGAAGCCCCCGCTCCTGCCCAGTGACTAAATTTACCTAGACTGACTCAGCCCTTGCCCGGAATGGGGGGCGGGGTGGTGCACGAGGGCAGAGGGAAGAGCGGGCAGGGGTGGGTGGGGCAGGGGGGACAAGAAAAGGAGAGTCCCAGCCAGGGAGACAGGATGGACCCGAAGTTTCCACCAGAGAGGAGTGCGCCCCCACCCCTTACAGTGAACAGGAAGAAGCCAAGAAGGCTCGAGGGAGGGACAGGTGGGGCTAGATCAGCAAAGAAAGACTCCAGAGCTGCATAAAGGGAAGAGTAGATTTATTGGGTGCCTACTATGTGCCAGGCACTCTGCAAGGCGCCTTATATACATTACCGCATTAAATCCTCACAACAACCCTGCGAGGTAGGTGTTTATAAACCCCCATTTGACAGATGAGGAAACTGAGGCTCAGGGAGGTGAAGTGATTTGGCCAAGGTCACATGGCTAGTAAATAGCAGACACAGAGGAAGTGCCCAAGGTTGGAAAGAAGAAGAAAAAAAAAAAAGACTTAAACGTCAGTCTTAATAAGCCTGTTGGCGTGGATCAATACAAAGAAGGGCTCGGCGCGCCCCAGAGGTCTGGGAGACCGGAGGCCTGCTCCCGGCCCCGCGCGCGGCTTGGAGGTGTCAAGGCGGGAAACCGGCGCTGGGTTACTAGGGATCCCGATAACTAGGTAACTGGCAGTGCTGGTGTGGGGGCACTCGAGCACCAGCAACCGGGGGAATTCGCGACCTGCGCGCGCCCCGTAGTGGCTCCAGCGAGTATCACACCCCACACCGACCGCTGAAGATCAGCCTTCCCCCCCCTCGCCTGGCTGTTTTCTAGGAGAGATGCAGAAATTGTCAGGGTCCTGTCAGGAGGGCGATACCATCTGTGTGGGAAATCCCGGTAACACTTGAGAGCATCACTAAGGACACGGAGATGGAGGAAAGGGGGAAGGCCTAAAAACGTCCCAAGCTGATTCATTGGCTACCTTCCCTCTCCACTTTGGTCCACCACAGGCCAGAGGCAGAGATCGGGCTGGTATCCTGCTCTGCCTTGCGAAACACTCACCTAAACTTGGGAAGTTGGGATAGAAGCCCTTTGTCCATTTAGATCTGAAAACCTTGACAGTCTTCCGAACCGAGGAAGAGTGAAACGGGTAAGAGCCCTCAGATTCTATTCACTTATTCCCCAAGTTCCAGGGACGGAAGAATGGGCGGCAGAGATCGCTCATTTGACATTTACAGGAATCCGGGATGGTTAGGTGCAAATGTAGTTACTTAGTCTAGGGTCTACCAGCAGCTAAGTGGCAGAGCTGGAACTGAAACTTGAGTTGTAACATCAAAGACAGCCCTCCCTCTTCCCAGTTTGCTGGTTGTGTATGCATCCATTCCTTCTCTGTCAAAAGCCCCTCTGCCACCTGATCACGTAGTCCCTAGATTCAAGCCCTCTCCATTATTTTTTTTTCTCCTGCCAGGGATCCTGACCTGACCATTGCTTTTTTATAACTGCCACCATTCCCTGCCCTTCGGCTTGTCTCTCTGCTCAGTTCTGCGCAGCGCCGCCGAATCGTAGCAGGGTTGAATCCTAGCCCCATCTCCCCTGAAGCTAGTGCTTGGATTGGCGATTACTGTCTTGCCTCTCTTTCCTCTGTTTCAAGTGTGGGAACAGGTATAGGTGGGAAAGAAGAAAAGGGAAGCAGACGAAGCCTGTAGAGAGTAAAGGAGGCCAGTGAGCCCAAGGATGGATGGGCTGAACCACACGAGAACAAAATGGGGCATCGCTCACTCTCTCTCTCTTTTCCCCTGTGGCGTTTTCCTGGTGTCCTCCCCGGAGGGACCTTCCTCAGTTTGACTGATGACATCTAGAATCTCCCGGATGCTGTCGCTCACTTCGGCTCTCTTCCCGCCTTCCCTGGGATGGGAGTTTCCAACCGCAGGCAGGGTCCTCTCACTCCGCCAGGAGGCGCCTGGGGCATCTGTGTCGCTTCCATCAGAGGAGCCACTATGGACGCTGAGCTCCTCAGCTTCATCTGAGTCCGAATCTGGGGCGGTGTGGCGGCGGATGCGGGACACGGCTTCCCGCAATGCCCCGGCGTAGGGTCCTGGAGTACGCGCCCAGCCCCCGCCCGTGCGCCGCAGGACCCCAACCGCTTCTGAGCCCTTCACGCTGCCCGCGCATCCCAGAGCCGCTGGGCCTAAGGTCGGGTGCTCAGGGCTACATGGCTGCGTGGGGGCGTCTCGTAGGTTCACTTCGCAAACAGGGAGCCCTAAACTGCAGGAGGCGCGGTCCTCCAGTGAAGAATCCCCCTGCTCTCCTCCCTCGGCTTCGCACTCGCGACCCCCGCCCGGCTGGTTAGAGTTGCCACTGCTCAACAGTAGCTTTTGGCAAACTGAGGGATTGGCAGCGACCCCCTCACCCTCCTCGTGGCAGGGCTTGGGTTGCCTGGGGCTGTCGTTCCCAATGCATGGCTCCCCAGAGGGCAAGAGCTGCACCTGCTGGGTCCGAAGGGTCGGAACATACTGGGACTTTATCACCACGCACGTGGCATCAATGACAAAGATGCCTTCTCTACGAGAGGGGCCTCGGGAACTGCGGGGCAGGGTGTGGGCACGGCGGGTCGCCTTCCAAATTTCCAGGGTTTCATGTTCTGACCCCTCTCTTTGACCCAGGGACTCTCTCCACCCGGTGCCTCCAGGAGCCCAGGGTCTGGGGAGAGTCTGGCTGTGCCTAACTGGAGGCTTTGTAGGGGAGGAAAGCCAACACCTGGGAAGCCAAATATGTTCACTTCCTTCTTTCCTTTCCCTTGAGCCCTTAAGGTGCTGCCTGGACCTGGGAGCAGGACATGGGGGGCTGCGGGTCGTAGACCCAGCGGGAGCTGCCTCCGTGGTGCCTGGACTGCCAGTAGCTTTGGCTTGGGGACGGCCCTCGCCACAACTGTTCAGGCCAGCAGCAGCTAGGCCCGAGCTTTTCTCTATCGCCTCTCTGCAGGACTCTGGCCTGGCTCTGGCCGCTGCACAGCCCGGAGCTCCTCCTAAGAGTCCCCGTCCCTGTCTGAGACCCCAAGCCCCTAGAACATCCCGGTAGATTCGAGGATCCAGCCTCTTCTTCGCGCGCCCTGTCTCTGTCCTGGTGGCGACTGGAACTGGGGCTGATGAGGTGGGCGCCCGGGAGAGCTCCGGGCCTTGCTTAGTCCCCAGGGTTCTGTGGGGGCCTTCATAAGAAGGTGGAGCCACATAGGGTGGCGGCCGGTCCCAGCGGCGTCTTGGGGCTGTGCCTGCAGCGCCTCTCAGCAGCAGGTGGGCCTCGTAGCTAGGGGGCCCTGGTCTCCTACCTCCCCATGGCCCCGCCCATGCCACCCCTGGGTCACTCTGCTGGAGCGCAGATGGACGGGGCGCTCGCCCCACCTGCCCGAAGCGCTCTGGTCTGGAGAAAACTGGGAACCCTGTTGGTTGGGCCGCCCGAAGGGCGTTCCGGGTCTCTGGGCGGGGCTGACCTAGGGGACTCCGTCGGGCCCCCCCAGCCTTGCGCCTTTTTCTCTCGGTCTCCTTGGCCTCCCGCTCCTGCGACGCCGCCTTCCTTTTCTCTTGTTCCCGGGCTCGGACCTCGGCGAGGGTCCCCGCCCGCCAGTTGGTCGCCTCCTGCAGCACCCTGGTGGCCCAGGGTCGGCGGGGGTGGCGGCTCAGGGGATCCTGGGCGTAGCCTACACCTGGGACAATGAGCAGGAACCCAGGTGAGCAGTTTGTGGGGAAAGGGAGTCGAGGTCCAGGGAGCTGGGAGTACTGGAGACCACTTGGGGCAGCCATGTGGGAGGGTACGCGTGAGTGTGTGTGCGAGTGCACGTGCGTATATGTTAGGGCTGAAGTCGAAACGAGACTCCTCGCCATCTCTCCATGCACACTTTAACAGCGACTGCCCCATCTCACCTCCTGCCCTTTCTCACTACCTCTTCTGTCCCCATAAACAGCGCTGAATAAGTCAGGCCCCAGTCCTCGACGAGTAGGGGGAGGGAGGCGCGGGAAGAGAAGGGGCCAGGAGTAATTGCTGGTGCCAGCGGGGGAGGTCTGGACCCGACCCCACTTCCCACCCCACCACTTGCTGCCCCTCACCCCCTCCTTCACTCACGTGCGGCTCTGGGGCCCACGGGCCCAGTAGCTGGCCTGGATGTCCATGGACTGTCGAGAAGGGGCGCGACGACTATAATGACAGGAAATAGTCTTCACTTCAATCACCAACAGCTTGGACTTCTGCACCCAAAGGCAGCTGCCCAACTCCTCATCCTGTAGCTCCCGGGGGCTGTTGGGCCCCTCGGAGAATAACGGGCCATCCAGCATCCTGCCCCACCCCACCCCGGCCCCCCACCCTCCCACCCGCCCCGTGAGCCCCCTCCCAACTCAGGGAGCCGGCGCCCACTGCAGAGCGGCAGGCCCAGGGACTGGCAACTATATATACCCGGGCACACGTGTGTGCCTGCCTGTGTGTGTGTGTGTGTGTGTGTGTGTGTGTGTGTGTGTGTGCTCGCGCGCGGGCGCGCGCGCATGTGACACGCCGCCGTGGACAGCTCCGCGTTGCTACCTCCCCCATGTACACGGCCGCCCCCTGGGGCCTGGGATTGGACGCCCCTTCCCACTGCTCGGGTCCCCCAAGCCTAATGGGACCCACAAATGGGCGGAGGAGAGACTTCTGATTCTTAGCAAGCTTACAGTGCCCCCTCCTCCAGCCCCCATTTCTGCACACTTCCCGAAGTTTTAACCCTTCGCTTTCCTGCTTGTCAGGTTGCCTGACCACCAGTGATCTATCCCTGTCTGCCTGGACTCCTTTTCTCCGACAGGGAGTGGTGAGAGTAGAACTAAGGTCTCTGCCTGCCACTCTCTGCTGGCTTCCATGGGGTTGGGGTGCAGGAGAGGCTGGCCCACAGTTGGGGGGAGGGGGCGGGCTATTTTTAGCGTCGGTGGCATTCGGGTGAGGATGAGTAACAGTTCAAGCAGTGGAGAGAAGCTTTCAAGAAGCTTTTGTGCAACTCTGGGGGACAGCTGCTCCCCCAGGCCCTCCCCCCAACGGTGGCTCCAGCAACCTTTACCCCTCACCTTTTTCTCTGCAGGTGTGTAAGGCAGAACTCAGTCTGTCCTGGCCACCTAAGCAACAGGACAACTCTCACTCTAGATATGGGTACCCTTGGGCATGCTGGCTCCCCCAACCCAGAAGCCAGGATTCTGGGATTACATAGTTCTGTGCCCACACAGCTCTACCAAGCCTTATGTGGGGTGCAGACAGAGCGCTTAGATACACTTGTACCCTAACAGAGGGGGATGGAGGAAGAATGGAGTGCCAAATCCCCTAGCAACAGAAAGGATAAAAGTAGCCTGCCTTTCCTAGGATGTCTAGCTCACAATTGTCTAGTTCACTTGGCCACCCTCAAGTGCAGCTCACCTTTTGGACATACTCTGTTCTGGAGGGGGGGGTTGTTGCTTGCATCCTCAGGCTTCCTCCCCCTAAGCCTGTACCAGGTGTCCCCTGATTCACCATGGTAATGTTAGTGGCAGCACAGCCCACGCCAACCCTTCCATGCAGAGACTTAGCAACCATGCCTGGCAACCATGGCAGCAGCTCAGTGGAGTGGAGGGGTGCAGGGAGGGGGGGAAAGAATGGCAACGGCTCCTGAGGAAGAAGGGACCATTTGCTTCTCTTGACTTTTGAGAGCAGAAGCTTGTGAGCTTCCAAATTGTAGTAACCCTTGCGTCTTCAGCACCATCCTCAGATGAAGACTTGGTGGGGATTTAGGGGGTAAATGAGAGATCCCAGTTTGTAGTTCAAAAAAGTACATGGAACATTTGGGTACAGAGACTTCTTTTTAAGGGAACAGGGACTAGAAGGGTTATTAAAAGGACAGAGACAGGACTCACTGAAGAATAGACAAGTAGAACCCGCCTCTCCGCTGTCCCATCCACTCCCCCCTCATGATACCTTGCACCTACCAGCTGCACTGAAGAGGGCTTCCAGGTGCTGCTTTCCACGAGGTCCCACCAGAGTCCCACAGCTTTTAAAGCCTGTCTCCTCCCTAGACAAATCCTCCTCGATGAAGGAATGTGACACAAGGAGACATTTGTCCTTCCCACCACGCGTCCCCCTACACACACATGCACATAAACACGCTCTAATATTTGGAAGCCTTCCTCCCCCAAGCTTGGGAATGTGCTGAGAGCTGTGAGGACGGACGCAGGGTCAGCGGTTCAACGGCCAGCACTGCAAGCTGGCCTCTTCCAGGAGATGATGTTTCCCTGGGTCCCCTTAGGAAGCCCGCTTTGGAAGAACAAGAGTAATATGGCAGAGGTTCCTCTGAAGGGATAGGCAAAGGAACGAGAGCCAAGGAATTATTCAGAACCTACTCCTGGCTTGGATGCAAACTGTCCTATCAGCAAAGCCCTGGTAGAAAGGAACCCAGTCTGGTGGTACTCGTGATGTTGGGTGCCACGTTCAGTCTGTGTAAGGTTTCAGCACAGACGGTGGGTCTGGTGGGCTGATTCTTTATGATTTACTCTCTGAGAAAGGGAAGGGATCTGTGGGTTCACAATACCAGTCAAAATCCAAACAATTCAACCTTTCCCTAGAAACCCTGATAATGTTGGCAGATCTCTCTGAATTTACCCTGGACCCTAACTATGGTCCCAAGATAAGAGAACTACAGGAAATAAGATAAGAACAGTCCTGAGAGAATTAGAAAGGAAAATTAATGTAAAGACAGGGAAGCATAAAACCTTGAACCAGACAGTTTAAGTTTAAACATTAACCTTTTTTTTTTTTTTTTTTGAGACACAGTCTTACTATGTAGCACCTGGAACTTGCTATGTAGCTCAGGCTAGCCTCAAACTCAAGAGATCTGTCTGCCTCTGCCAGAACTAAAGACACATGTCTCCATACCTACCAGCTCTGCTTTAAAAACACTGATTCATGAATATGCAGCAAGGTGTGCGTCGGTGCATGTCATGACTGCACGTGGACGTGAGACAAGGTGTGCGTCGGTGCATGCCATGACTGCACGTGGACGTGAGAGGACAAGGTGTGTGTCGGTGCATGCCATGACTGCACGTGGACGTGAGAGGACAAGGTGTGTGTCGGTGCATGCCATGACTGCACGTGGACGTGAGACAAGGAGTGCGTCGGTGCATGCCATGACTGCACGTGGACGTGAGAGGACAATTTTGTGGAGCCTGTTTTTTCTCTACCTCTAAATGGGTTCTGGCAACTAAAAAACTCAGGTAGCTGGGCTTGCGTGGCAAGTATCTTTACTGTTAGCTCTGCTTTTTTTAAAAAAAAATATTTATTTATTATGTACACAATAGTCTGTCTGTGTGTATGTCTGCAGGCCAGAAGAGGGCACCAGACCTCATTATAGATGGTTGTGAGCCACTATGTGGTTGCTGGGAATTGAACTCAGGACCTTTGGAAGAGCAGGCAATGCTCTTAACCACTGAGCTATCTCTCCAGCCCTGTTAGCTCTGCTTTTTATCAGGTTTGTGGCTCTGGGCCAACTTGTAAGTATGTGCTTCTGTCTCAAATCTCTTAAAACCACTAACGGTTGCTGGGCAGCAGTGGTGGTGGCTGGGCAGCAGTGGTGGTGGCGGCGGCGGCAGCGGTGGTGGTAGCTGTGGCCTAGGACTTTAATCACAGTACTTGGGAAGCAGAGGCAGGTGAGTTCTAGGACAGCCAGGGCTACATAGAGAAACCCTGTCCTGTCTTGAAAAACCAAACCAAACCAAACAAACAAAAATAAACAGAACTAGAAAAGGTGCCGGGGAGATGGCTCGGTTGGTAAAAATACTTGCCTCAAAAGCTTGAGGAACTAAGTTCAGATCCCTAGAACCAACATAAAAAGCCTTATTTGGTAGTGTGTGCTTTTAATTCCATGGGTCCATGGAGCAGCAGCTCCAAGCTGCCCAGCTGACCCTGCCTATGTGGTGAAATCCCAAGCCAGTGAGACACTGTCTCAAGAAAAAAGTGCGAGACCAGACCAAACCCTGTGTCAAATCAAGTGCAAGGCAAGAACTGTCACCCAAGGGTGTCCTCAGCCGCCACACACATGCACACACAAAAGGTTGTTTTGTTGGGTTTGTTTGTTTGTTCCCCAACAGGGTTTCACTGTGTAACCCTGGCTGTTCTGGAACTCACTCTGTAGACCAGGCTGGCTTCAAACTCAAGAGATTGCCTGCCTCTGCCTCCTGGGGATTAAAGGCATGTGCCACCATGCCCAGCTCACAAAGACCTTTTTTAAAGACTGACCCTGGTGTAGCAGCAGCATGCGCCTCTAATCCCAGAAACTGACCCTGGTGCAGCAGCAGCAGCATGTGCCTCTAATCCCAGAGACTGACCCTGGTGCGGCAGCAGCAGCATGCGCCTCTAATCCCAGAGACTGATCCTGGTGTAGCAGCAGCAGCATGCGCCTCTAATCCCAGAGACTGACCCTGGTGCGGCAGCAGCAGCATGCGCCTCTAATCCCAGAGACTGACCCTGGTGCGGCAGCAGCAGCATGCGCCTCTAATCCCAGAGACTGACCCTGGTGCGGCAGCAGCAGCATGCGCCTCTAATCCCAGAGACTGACCCTGGTGCGGCAGCAGCAGCATGCGCCTCTAATCCCAGAGACTGACCCTGGTGCGGCAGCAGCAGCATGCGCCTCTAATCCCAGAGACTGACCCTGGTGCGGCAGCAGCAGCATGCGCCTCTAATCCCAGAGACTGACCCTGGTGCGGCAGCAGCAGCATGCGCCTCTAATCCCAGAGACTGACCCTGGTGCGGCAGCAGCAGCATGCGCCTCTAATCCCAGAGACTGACCCTGGTGCGGCAGCAGCAGCATGCGCCTCTAATCCCAGAGACTGACCCTGGTGCGGCAGCAGCAGCATGCGCCTCTAATCCCAGAGACTGACCCTGGTGCGGCAGCAGCAGCATGCGCCTCTAATCCCAGAGACTGACCCTGGTGCGGCAGCAGCAGCATGCGCCTCTAATCCCAGAGACTGACCCTGGTGCGGCAGCATGTGCCTATAATCCCAGAGACTGACCCTGGTGTGGCAGCATGTGCCTCTAATCCCAGAGACTGACCCTGGTGCGGCAGCATGTGCCTATAATCCCAGTACTTAGGGGTCAGAGGCATGAAGACTGCTGCAAATCTGAGGCCAGCCTGAGCTACATATGGTACAAAATCCTGTCTCAAAAAAAATCATAAATTCTCCCCAAACCAAAACACTTATGGTCCCACACAACCACTGCAGTTAAAACATTGAGAACATGTGCTTTTATATGTACTATTATCACTGCTGTTAATAACGAGTTGAAGCAGCTTCATGGAGTAAGGTTGTCGAAAGTGTCTATCAAATGCAGAAATCAAACACTGCAATACCATGACGAAAACCTCATCATTTAATTAGATTTGCCACAAAAAGCATTAATCTTGGCTACCTACCCATTGCCTTCCTCCACACAGTCATCTGCCTTCACATGCACACAGAACAGGAACCCAGACATGCACCTCCCCACAAGATTCATGAGAAGGAATGACTTCAAATGGACTCAGCCTCCTCCACAGAAATGAAGCAGGATGAATAGATAGATTTTTAAGAAGACCTTTGCAGAGACAGGTGGAGCACGGGGAGGTGGAGGGATCTCTTAGAGATCAGAATCTGCCTGAGGAGCACAAAGCCCATGGTTCACCCAGAAGCGGGCCAAGTCTAAGGGCACGGGTTCTAGGATTGGCTAGGCTGAACGTTTTCTCAAATGTACACATGATGGTAAGGGAAACTAAAGTCCTTTCTCTTCATTGCCCTGTCTCCTCTAGTTCCAGACAGTGGCTATGAAGCTCCTGAGGGAACAGACTCAGTTCCTCCAGGATTTCATGATTCCCAGAGCTTCCGGGAGGCAAGGAGGGGCCAAGAAGGGGACTGGAGCTGCCTGTCCCTCCCCATGCTCAGGGCTTCTTCTCTCCACCTGTGAGCACCAGAGCCTGCAGGATGTCGGACAGCGACACAATGCCCTTGACCACATCATTCTCATCCACCACCACCAGACGGTGAACCTGGAACAGAGCACCAAGAAGTAACGTCAGTGCCAATCTCAGTTAGGGCGAGCGCCTAGTGGCTTGAGGGGGTGCTGGCTTCCTACCTCCGCTTCCACCAGTCTATTGATGATGGTCTCCAGCGTCTCGTGGAGATAGCACTTGAGAACACCCTCAAAGTAGTGGGACCGGTGCTGCAGAGCTTTCGTCACAGACACATCTAGGTTGTTGTAGGTCTTTTCTGCTGCCAAATTCTGGAGGTGGGGGGGTGTGCTTGAAAGGGGCCAGGTCCCAAACCCTGGACCAACCCAACCTCACGAGAGGACCTGAGGGCACTCCTTAGCTCTGCCCACAAGCCATGACCAGTCCATTCAGCTACTGTAGACAGGATTCAAAGCACAGATATGCCTGACACCAAAGAGCCCCCTTCTGTCTCCTCTCCATATTCGACACGCCTCCCCTCCTCTCCCTTCCAGCCCCTCCACTGTCACTTACAATCACATCAAACTTGGAGTAGATGTCCACCACACGCCCTAGGGAGACAGAGGCAGCTCAGAAAAAAAAAAAATCTGGTAGCCAAAATTCTTACTACCCACAGGATCACCTTCCAGGCTGATCTGAGAGGACAGCAGGTTTTCCCAGAGTTTCCTGACCCCCAGGATCCTCCCTCTTCTTTTCCAGTCTCTCACCTTTCTCATCCACCACAGGCAAGGCGGAAACTCGGTGCTGTACAAAGATGCCTAGAGCCACATAGACAGGCGTGGTAGTGCGGACCATAGCAATGTTGGCATAGGTGCCAATCTGCAGCTCTTCCAGAGACTTAGACATGAATTCTGGCTTGGGGAACTCAGTGATCTGAGGGGAGAATCATCGGCTTTAGGGGGTTCTATGATATCTATGGTAGAGCATGAAATGCTGGGTTTAGTCCTCAGTACCCAAAACACTGAGTTGGCTTGACTTTTAAGGCCCCCAAACTGCCAAGTCTATACCTCCAATCCAGCACATAAGACGTAAGATCTAGGTTAAAGTACACTTACAAACAACTTGAGGAATTTGAGGATGCGCTTGTGAGTTAGGATGTACAGGGTGTTGCCTGACTCTGGGTCAATCACTGGAAGCCTGTGGATCTTATTTCGAATTAGTGAAGAGACAGCATCAAACAAACTGTGAAGAGGTAGAAGGTCGGGGTTAGGTTCCTTAGATCGTGTTTATAGACCGCCAAAGCTCAGCATCAGGGGAGGGGCAGTGGGCAAACAGACTGAGAGAGGTGTGGTGTGGCTGGGTGTGGAAATGTGCCTGCCTGTACTGTCAGCCTGAGGACGAGCAGAAGAACCACAAGTTCAGGCCAGCCTGAGCTCTGGAGTAAGCTCAAGGCCAGTCTTGGCTTTGTGTGAGATATTTTTCTCAAAAAAGAAACAAACAAACAAACAAACAAAAAAATCGTGGCTGTGTGCATTGGAAGAAGTTCCCCTCTGTCATGTCCTTGCTCCTGGGCCTTCAGGTATTAGGGCTAAACACATAGCCAGAGCTTACCTGGCATTTGGAGAAATGCAGACCAATGGCTTGAAGGAGTCTTGCAGGTATACCTCTGAGGGGAAAAGGGGTAGTTCACAAAACACTGCCATGTGAGTGTTTCCCAGGAAACCCTCCATCCCTTCGTCTTCCACAACCTCCAATTCCCTATGTACCTCTCCAAGTCTCTATCTTGTGTTCTTCCAGTTCATAGATCTGTACCTGGAAGCAGAAGCAGCGGATCTGAGACTCCCTTCTTCATTAACCCATATGGCTTTGCTTGGAGGGAAAAACCAGGCCTGAGGGGCCCACAGGTGAGGACCAAAGCTAGGGGTGTGGTTTGCTTTGGCGGCTCAGGCTCCTTACCAAGGCTGACTTATAGTATCGGTGCAGGATGTTGATGAAGTCAGTGATGGTCAGCATGCCTAGAGGTCAAGACAAGAGCCCTCAGCACAGTTCAAGGCTTCTTCCACCCAACCGGCAAAAAATGCCAACAGGTGTATTCCAGGAAAAACTTCTGCTTACCCACAAAACTCTGCTTCTTACTATCCCACAGAGGGGCGGCTCGGACACCGTTAGTCACCAGGGCAAAGAAAGCTTTCTTTACCTATAGCCAAAAGAGTGAGATCCTGAGGCGGCAAGGAAGAAGGGGATTGGCGTGTGGAAGTATGAGGTGTGAAGAGTGGCACTGAGCCAGCAGGTCTGAGGGATGCAGAGGAGGGAAAGAGCCCCACTCACCTGCAGGGAAGTATCAAACACAACCAACTTAGAGCTCGTGGGGATCAGGTCGTAGCAGCGATGAGACTTCATGAAGGACGTATACACACCATTGTTCGATTCTGGGTTCTCTGCACATGGAGAAAGTTGATGTCTTTTATGCAAGAACTTATAGCCAGAAGAGACAGAAAACCAAAAAGAGTTCTAGCTTCTCAACTCTGAAGATATTTCTGCTTTGTTTTTATTGTTTCTCATCTTTTCATTAGAGTTTTTCTTCCTATTAACATATTTTCAGTTGTCTTTTCTTTATGTCTGTTGAAGACCTGCAGGTGGGAAACTCATAGTTCAGGCAAGGCCATTTCTAACAACATGAAGTACTCAATCAACTTGGCCAGAACTCAGAATAACAGTTGTGAGTCAGAGATCCCAAAGGGAGAGCCTGGCTACATTTACCTCCATTCTTCTGGTTTATGTATTTCTTTTTAAATAACTAAGTTGTTTTTTGGGTTTTTTTTTTTTTTTTGGTTTTTTGAGACAGGGTTTCTCTGTGGTTTTGGAGCCTGTCCTGGAACTAGCTCTTTTTTTTAATATTTATTTATTATGTATACATTATTCTGTCTGTGTGTATGTCTGCAGGCCAGAAGAAAGCACCAGACCTCATTACAGATGGTTGTGAGCCACCATGTGGTTGCTGGGAGTTGAACTCAGAACCTTTGGAAGAACAGGCAATGCTCTTAACCACTGAGCCATCTCTCCAGCCCCCCTGGAACTAGCTCTTGTAGACCAGGCTGGTCTCGAACTCACAGAGATCCGCCTGCCTCTGCCTCCCAAGTGCTGGGATTAAAGGCGTGCGCCACCACCTCCCAGCATTAAGTTTTTTTTAAAAAAAAATTATTTATTATGCATACAATATTCTGTCTGTGTGTATGTCTGCAGGCCAGAAGAGGGCACCAGACCTCATTACAGATGGTTGCCATGTGGTTGCCAGAATTGAACTCAGGACCTTTGGAAGAGCAGGCAATGCTCTTAACTACTGAGCCATCTCTCCAGCCCAATAACTAAGTTTTTTAAATAAATAATTTCTCTCTGTGTGTATGGATGTTTTACTTGTATATCTGTGTACCATATGTGTGCCTGGTGCCTGTTGAGGCCAAGAGGGTGTTGGAGTCCTTGGGAGTTATTGACAGTTGTAAAATGCCATGTGGTGCTGGAAATTGAACTTGAGTTTTCTGAAGAAAAGCCAGTGTTCTTCCACTGAACTAAGTCTCCAACCCCTTCATTCTCTTGAGATAGAGTCTTGCTATGTAGCCTAGGCTCGCCTCAAGCTTGTAGTAATCTTATTGCCTTAGTTCTTCAAATGGTGGGATTTGCCGGGCGATGGTGACGCACGCCTTTAATCCCAGCACTCGGAAGGCAGAGGCAGGCGGATCTCTGGGAGTTCGAGGCCAGCCTGGTCTACAGAGCTAGTTCCAGGACAGGCTCCAAAGCCACAGAGAAACCCTGTCTCGAAAAAACAACAACAACAAACAAATAAATGCTGGGATTTCAGGCATGCAACACCATGTCAGGCAGTCTGTGTTTTTAACTGCTTGCTAGAAACTGGAAAGGTAACCCTCCAAAATAACACCCTGGATGTTTTATGTACTAGAACAGATATTACAAATAAGACCCTGGATTTCTATGTACTATAACAGATACTTAGAAATAAGAACCTGGCCTTAGTGCCCCTGGCACGGAAGCCGCTTCTGCTGCTCAGGCCGCGCTGCTGGCAAGTTCTGAGAGAGGTCTGCAGTCAAGGTATCTCAGTTACCTGTTCTACTACCAAGACTCTGTCCTGCTGTCCCTGACGCCAGCCATCATGCCAAGGGGACAGAAGAGTAAGGCCCGTGCTCATGAGAAACGGCGCCAGGGGCTCAAGGATGCTCAAGCAAAGGAGGCAGAGAAAGCAGAGTCACCTGCTGGCTCTGATCAAGCTTCAGGAGATGCTAAGCCAAGCACTTCTACTGCTGACTTCCCACAGCAGTCTGAAAGCTCAGGACCCAGCAGCACTGCCAGCCAGGGAGGAAGCTATGGAAGGTCTGATAATGGTGACCAGGGCCAAGGGGATGGAAAGGAGCGTTCCTCCAGGGCTCCACTCTCCACTAGAAGCATGCAGATGGACCTTATGACAAGGAAGACGGGAATGCTGATGGAGTACATGCTCCTCAAATACAAAGTGCAGCAGCCCATGAGGAGAGGAGAGATGCTCAAAGTTATCAACAAAAGGTTCAAGGAACACTTCCCCGAGATCCTCAAGAAAGCCTCCTATCGATTGGATGTGGTGTTTGGCCTTGAGCTGAAAGAAATCCTGCCACGTGGTCAAGCATATGAGCTTGTGAGCAAGTTAGATTTCAAGGATGATGGAAGTAGGAGCAATGAGCTAGGTGTTCCTACCAGGGGCATTCTGATTGCTCTCCTCAGTGTGATCTACCGAAATAAGTATTGTGCTGCTGAGGAGGACGTCTGGTATTTCCTGAATGCATTAGGAGTCTTTGACGGGGTCCCACATCTCATCTTTGGAGATGTCAGGAAGCTCATCACTGAGCAGCTAGTGCGGGAAGAATACATAGAATACTGTCAGGTTCCTAACAGTGATCCTCCGTCCTATGAGTTCCTGTGGGGCCCAAGAGCCTATGCTGAAACGAGCAAGATGAAAGTGATAGAATTTTTAGCCAAGATCAGTGAAGCCATTCCTGAGGATTACTCATCTCGTTATGGGCGGGCTTTGATTGAAAAGGAAGAGAAAGCCCAAGCTGAAGCTGCAGCCAAGTCTGGCACTAAAGGCAAGGCCAAGGGACGTACTAAGACCAAGTTAAGTCATCATACTCACAAGTGACGTATAAGGTCACCTCTGTTTTATGATTGAAAAGGTCTGTTCATATTTTTGCAGATAAGCTGTTCATAATCTTTTGGAGGACTTTTAGCACAGTTTTAACTTGAGGTTAAATGTACTCAAATAAATTTTGAAGCCTGTTCCTTCACCACTGTTTACCAAGTTGGGAGCTCAAATTTTTTGGTTTGATTTAAAATACAGTTTGCAAATTGAAATGTTCTAAGGATTTGATGATGTTCATATGATACTATGGAATTAGATTAAGATAATGTTGTGAAATTTGAAAGAAAAATATTCAAAAGTGTTAGGCTTCTCAGCGAAGATTTTCTTTTAGTCCTTATTTTCTTGGCATTGATGTAGGGATGTATACTGACTTTTGTTTCTGATATTAAAATATGTGTGAGAAAAAAAAGAAATAAAAACCTGGGTGTTCTATGCACTATAACATATACCTAAAAGTAACACCCTGGATGTTCTATGTACTATAACATATGCATAAAAGTAACACCCTGGATGTTCTATGTACTATAACATATACGTAAAAGTAACACCCTGAATGTTCTATGTACATAACAGATACGTAAAAATAACACCCTGGGTGTTCTATGTACTATAACATATACGTAAAAGTAACACCCTGGATGTTCTATGTACTATAACAGATACTTAAACATATCACAGCGTTTAATCTTCCTCCCACTTTGCCCTGTTTTTCAAGCTAGGATCTCACACACTTCACGGAGCTCTACCTGTCTCTGCCTCCTGACTGCTGGGATTGAAGTAGTGCGCCACCACTTGCCACCCTACATCTCTGACTTCTCACTGGTCTGTTAAGTAAGTATTATCCTTGTGTTTTAGGTGAGAAAACAGATGTAGACCAGTTAAATGAACTGTTCAGGTCGTACCGCTGAGTGAGTTCAAGAGTTACCGTAAGCTCTGACTGACTCTGTACTGTACTCCCAGCACCCAGCTGCGTTTTAAAAAATGGTTTCTAGCCAGGTGATGGTGGCAAACACCTTTAATCCCAGCATTTGGGAGGCAGAGGCAGGTGGATCTCTGAGTTGGAGATGAGCCTAGTCTACAGAATGAATTCCAGGACAGCCGGGGCTACACAGAGAAATGTCAAAAAAAATATTTATAATAATTTTTTTCTCTCAGTGCTTGGGAGCAAACCTAAACAATTAGACAAGTGCTGCACCACTAAACTATATTTCCAGTCCTCAATATTTTGGGAGAGGCTTTTGATTGGGCTAGTTCTGAGCGCAAGATGAAGCCCAGATCTCCCCGTTTCAGTCTCTCCAGTGATGGGATTATAGGCAAACACTATCACTGTGGCTCCTATCAGTTTCTTTTTTTTTTTCTGAGGTAGGATCTCAAGTAACCCAGCAAGACTCAAGCTCCACGGCTAGCCAAGAATGACCTTGAGCCAGTCTTCCTCTCTGGGCTCCACACCCCTAACTGAGGGAATATTTCTTGAGGGACCTTGACAGTGCCTTTTTACATAGTTTTACATTTTTATTTATGTGTATGGGTGTTTTGCCTACATGTATATCTCAATACCACAAGCATGTCTGATGCCCTTGGAGGTCAGAAGAGGGCATCAGGTCCCCAAGACTGGAGTTACAGATGGTTGTGAACTACCACATGGGTGCTGGGAATTGAACCCAGGTCCTCTGAAGAGCAGGCAGTGCTCTTAACTACTGAACAATCTCTCCAGCCAGTGATTTTTTTTTAAGGGAGGGTCTCACTATATAGAGCAAGCCAGTCTCACACTCTCACCACCACACCCAGAAAGACACAAGCCTCCACACGCTCTACAGCACGTGTGTCCCCTCCCGCCCTGCACACGCAAACACAAGCCTCCACATGCTCTATAGCACACACATAGAGAAACAGGATTCAAATTCTATTTTTGCACATTTTATCTAAATCATATCTTAGGTGGGAACACTTGAATGTTAACTGGATGCTCTAACTGTATAAACGAGTCTTGTTGACTGTGAGACATTTGGAGGTTTTCCTGTCAAGGAGAGTCTGTCTACAGCTGATTCTTTAACTCTGAGCCTGGAAGACTGAAGTCTTTTCTGTAGTATTCTGGAAGCTGACTGTGGGCGGCTCAGCACCCAGCAGTTTCCTTGAGGTCCTGGTTTTCAGTACAGTCTGTAAGCCCCTCTCCACACCCCCAGTCTTGGTCTGGGTGGGGAGTCTCAGCAGTATGCAGTGAGACAGTTTGTTTCTTAGACTTTCAAGCCTTCATTACTGTTAACTGCAATGCACCGTACTCAGACCAGCTAAGTCATTTAGATATCTCCCACACACTTTCCAGCTTCCACACCCATTCCTACAATCCCCTCTCCTGTTCTTATTTTTGTGAGTTTGTACTAAAAAGAAAAAAGAAAAAAAGTTCTCTAGGGTGGTTGTGTGCATGCACACGTGTCACAGCAGGTGAGTTGGTTCTCTCCTCCCATCTTTTTGTGAATTTTAGGCATCAAACTCAGGTTGCTAGGCTTGCATGGCAAGCACCTTTATCTGCTGAACCATCTCACTAGCCCAAGATTTTTATTTTATGTTTATGGGTGTTTTGCCGGGATCTGTATCTGCCTAGTATTGTGTTTATGCAGTTCCTGTGGCGGCCAGAAGAGGGCATCAGATCCCCTGGAACTGGAATTACAGACAAGGCAGTGTGAGGTGCCATAAGGGTGGTAGGAATTAAACCAGGTCCTCTAGAAGAGAAACCAGCGCTCTTAATGGCTGAGTTATCTCTGAGCCCCTTGTTTTGTTTTTCAGAGGACTGAAGGTGGATGTGGGCACTCCATCTACCATGTTAACTGAAGAGTTCCACTGTTTTTCAGACATGGAAGCCCAACTCACAGATACCAAGACATAGCTTTAGAGACCAGATGAAGATATACTACACCGAGTTAGACGCTATCATTTTAAGACAAAAGTCCACATATGTATTGAACTTGGATTTTCCAGTTTTAAAAATAATTTAAATCACTTTCCAAATTTAAAAACTCTACAAATTTATATAAAAATCCCAAATTCTCAAGTTTCTTTACAAAAATAGGTCTTCATTGAGCAGCTATAGACAGCTGCTGTCTCCTTTTAAGCGGGACACAAGATTTATAAGTTGTTACTTGTCATATTTAGTCTTCCTCATCTGCCTGGTCCACAGGAACAACTGAACTTCTGCTGCCTGTTTTGGACAATGGGTACTGATATCGTGTGTGGTATTCAGCTATGGAAAGTCATTTCGATAATGAAACATGCAATAACACCGATTTGTTTTTTGTTTTTCAAGACAGGGTGTGGTAGTTTGAATAAGAAAATCACATTTGAATGCCTAGGAAGTGGCGTTAGGAGATGTGGCCGTGTTGGAGGAAGTGTGTGGTGGGCTTTGGGGTTTTAAAACGCTAAGCGAGGTCCAGAGGTTCTCTCTCTCTCTCTCTGCTGTCTTTGGACTAGGATGTAGAACTCTCAGCCCCTTCTCCTGCACCATGTTTCCTATCATGATGACGATGAACTAAACCTCTAAACTGTAAGCCTGCCCCAATTAAATGTTTTCTTTTATATGTTTTCTTTGCAGCAATAGAAACCATAACTAAGACACAGGATCTCTCTGTGTAGTCCTTGCTTGTCTTAGAACTTGCTCTGTATACCAGGCTGGCCTTGAACTCACAGAGATCCACCTGCCTCTGCCTTCTCAGTGCTGGGATTAAAGGCATGAGCCACCACTGCCCAGCTCAGCTGATATATTTTTTTTTTTACTAGATAATGCCTATAATCCGCTGATTTTTTTTTTGTTTTGTTTTGTTTTGTTTTTCGAGACAGGGGTTTCTCTGTGGTTTTGGAGCCTGTCCTGGAACTAGCTCTTGTAGACCAGGCTGGTCTCGAACTCACACAGATCCGCCTGCCTCTGCCTCCCGAGTGCTAGGATTAAAGGCGTGCGCCACCACCGCCCGGCTTCAGCTGATTTTTTAAGCCAATAAAACAGAACAATTTAAATTTCTTGTCAAGAACTCAGAGAAGTCTTAATAATATGTCTTTGGATTTTGTTGGATGCTAGGTTTTTTTTGTTTTGTTTTGTTTTTTTGAGACAGGGTTTCTCTGTGAAGCCTTGGCTGTCCTGGAACTCACTTTGTAGACCAGGCTGGCCTTGAACTTACAGAGATCTGCCTGCCTCTGCCTCCTGAGTGCTGGGCTTCAGGGCGTGCACCACCACTGCCTGGTTGACCACCTTTTTAAAATTTTGTGTTTCTGTGCATCTGAGTCTATTATTTGAATCCTGTTTTTCCCATGTATATATGTGAGTGTACATGTATGTGCAGAGATTCAAGCTTGATACTGAGTGTGTTCCTTGATCAGTCACTCTCCTTCCACTTCATTTATTGAGCAGAATTTCACTAGTTTGGTCTGGGAAATCCATCTTTGACTCCTGAGTGCTGGGACTACAGGCCACGCCTGCTCAACATTTACCCAAGTTCTGGAAACTCAAACTCCACTTTCAAGGCAAGAGCTTTCCCAGTGAATTTTGTTTTAAACCAAGGTTACAAACATCTAAAGAAAGTGCAGGGCCCTGGGCGATGTCTCAGTGGTGTTGAGCTCTGAGCACTCACATGGTGACTCACAACCATCTGTAATCCCAGTTCTTGAGGATCCAACACCCTCTTCTGACCTCCACAGGCACCAGCACATACACAGATATACACGGAGGCAAAACACTCACACATGCAAAAAAGTTTTTTAGTATAAAAATACGGAGAAACCCTGTCTCGAAAAATCAAAAAAAAAAAAAAAAGGTGATCCAAGGGGCTGGCTCAGTGGTTAAGAGCATTGCGTGCTCTTCCAAAGGTCCTGAGTTCGATTCCCAGCAACCACATGGTGGCTCACAACCATCTGTAATGAGGTCTGGTGTCCTCTTCTAGCCTGCAGGCATATATGTAAACAGAATATTGTATCCATAATAAATAAATATTTAAAAAAAAAAAAAGGTGATCCAAGTTGCCCCCATGCCAAATACAGCAGTACAAGGAAACAAACAGAAACGGGCAACCAGAGGGAAAGCACAGGGAGCCTGTACACAGAACAGGAACCTTGACAGCAATGTAACACACACGAGTAAAAACATTTCATCGGGAAACCAGTAAAAGATACTTTTTTAGAACGGGAATTTAGGGGCTGGAGAGATGGCTCAGACGACACCGGCTGCTCTTCCAGAGGATCCAGGATCAATTCCCAGAACCTACATGGTGGTTCACAACTGCCTGTAACTCTCGTCTTAGAAGACCCAACACCCTCTTT